GACCCCTAATTTCCCTTCTAGTTCTACAGTGTAATTATTCAGTAAATTGTGATATTCCCATATAACATCCTGAAAAATAACATTCTGTGGGGGAAAAAAAGACAAAAATTTAAAATTTGAAGACTTTTCAAGGCTTGTGGCTAATCCTTGTTTATTTAACAAATATGATCAGGTGCCTGCTAAGTGCAAGAGAACTGTGACTGACAGTGGGATTACAACTAAACCAGAGAAGTCCATTCTGTTCTCGTGAAATTCACAGTGCACTGGGAACCCCAAACAAAGGTAGTTATAATTTACTGGTTAAGTACTAAAATGGGGAGAAATATGAGTGTTATGGGTAAGTGATAGGGTACCCAAACCAGCATTGGTTAGGAAAGGCTCAGTGCAGAAATTGACATCCAAGACAAGACTTCAAGAACAGCAGGAGCTGGAGGGTGGGGTGGGGTGGGTTGTGGGTGTGTGTGAGGCAGGAGTGGATGGTGTGGGGAAAGATGACATTCTAGGCAGAGGGAATACCATCTGCCAAGTCCCAGAAGAACAGCAACTTGGGAACTATATGGCTGGAATTTTAAGCATGATTTTAAATGGGAGAGTGTTAGGACAGGTTAGGAAAAGCCCTGTGGCTGCAGAATGTAGAAATACATTGGAGAGGGGCAAGATGGAGGTGGGAGATCCCGCACTGCTGAGTCTACAAACATTCATATTATGTCGTGAAATCAGGGAAGGAAACAAAAAGAGGATTTAAAAGAGTATTCCTTTCAATTCTGCTTGGAGAAGTCAAATTGAGGTTTCCTAGAAGATGCGACAGAGCTAGGTCCCACAGGATAGAAAGGAATATACAGTAGCATCTGGTTACCATTGTAACAAGTGTGATCTTCAGATTAAACAATAACTCTAAATTCTGAAAATAAGGTAGGGTAAATATGCTTAAAAGATTCTTAAAAAGTCTGGGGCGCCTGGGTGGCTCAGTTGGTTAAGCATCTGCCTTTGGCTCAGGTCATGATCTCAGGGTCCTGGGATCGAGCCCCGAGTCAGGCTCCCTGCTCAGCAGGGAGTCTGCTTTTCCCTCTCCCTCTGCTGCTGCCCCTTCTTGTCCTCTCTCTCTCTTACTATCTCTCTCTCAAATAAGTAAATAAGTAACCTTAAAATTAAAAAAAAAAAAGATTCTTAAAAAGTTCTCATTTAAACCTACTTTTTTTTAGTAAAACTATGCCTTCAGTGTTAATGCCTGAGAAGGCCTTTTCATCAGCCTTCTTTATATTTTCATATAATTTCCCTGACAGATCCAGAATCAAAACTCCTGTACATATGTCATGATCATTCTAAAATCTAAAATCTAAAATCAGACCACTCTCCTGGTCTTCATATCCATCTATCCACCTTCACGTTAGGATTTCCACCCAATGTCCCCCAAACACCTCAAAGTTCACAGTTCCTCTCTATTTAATCCTTTGCTATATTCTTGTATTCTAGAAAAGCTAATATACAGCAGGTCAAAAAAATGTTAGTCTGTTAGAGACCATTTGGATATCCTCTACTTTGAAATGCCTGTTCAAGTTTGGTGCCAATTTTTCTACCATGTAATCTGTTAGTTCTTTCATGGCCTTTGTAAGTATTCTATTAGTGTTAATTTAATTGGGTGTGTCTCCCACCAGATCAGGGAGGTATTCTGTCTCTTTCTTCTGTGTAATCTGACCTCAAGCACAATACTGACATAAAGTGTGTCAAAATCTCTAAGAACAAAATATTCATAAAATAATGCTAATAAAAATTCAAAATAAATGCCAGATTATGAAATGTGAAGAGTATTCTTAAAACTGGGAGAAAAAAAGTAGGCAGAAAGTTGGCTTGTTCAGAAGGACTATAATAAGTTCACATAACACAGAATCCAGAAAAGTACACTTATAATCACATGTACAAAAGACCATTTCTTAAAATTACATGATTATCAAAAGCAACAATGTCATTTGGCTTTCAGGAAATTATTTTCAGGCTATATTTTATAATTAACACCTATAAAATATTTTAAATCGAGTTTTACATAGTAAGTTCTTTTTCAACACTATCCCTATGTATAAATTTATACCCTGCAAAATAGAATGCACTTCACCATAGCAACAGTTCTATATCAACTCCTACTCAAGTTAGAAAAAGCATATGTAAAAGAAATGAATATTCTGGAATATTCTGAAGTGCCTACTGGAAAAAAAATCACTCCATTTATTTTGTAAAAATTTAAATATAAAAGTTTAATGTTTCCTTAAAACATTCTTATAATTAGGCAAAAGGCTATTTAAGTTTCTCAAATCTTGCTTTATTAAATAGTGTAATACATTTTTTAAAGAAAGCTAAAGAGGAAAAAAAATAATGAAAAAGCACAGAAAAAAAAAACCAATGTCAAGGATAACACACTTGGGATTGAGTTGGTGGGCATGCTGGGGGATGGGAACAGTAACAGGAAATAATGTTCAAGTGATTTCTAAGTAAAATATAAACCAAGGTATTAAATGTTACAACTATATTACTTTCTCAAAAAAAGCTATACCCCACTGGTGTTATGAAAACTGAAAAAGAAATTCTTATGTTCACATGGTCTTCTTTTAAAAGTCAACAAAGCATCAGGAAGTGTAAACTTGGCTTGATAAATTAAGTCAATTACAAATTCCTACAAATTCCTTAATGAGAATGAGCAAGTTTATAGACTTTGGGGATCAGGTTATATACTACCAACAAATCTATGTGCTGCATCAAAATGTAATATTAAACTAAACGTAACTGAAAGCATTTCCTTTTACTCACCACACTTGTGGCCAAATTCACCATGTGCACACTGCTGTCATCCTTGCTCACAGCCCAAGAAGGAGTTCTCTGTTATGTTCTCAACTCCCTTGCTGTTCTGGGCTTCCTTTCTCTGACCTAATTTCTAGCTGCTGCACTACATCCCAATTCTCCACTGACCTCTGAAAATTCCCAAATCCTTCTATGTTTCTAATATCCTTGCTTAACATTTCCTTCAAACAGGCTTAAACTGAAACCTGGCTATTGTTCACTTCATTTGGAGGCTGAGCTTTCTGCCACATCCTACCACACATATCCCAGAGATCGGAGGTTCTTTCTTACGTGTTCTTATGTGTTTTAGAACCTGACCACCCCCTCCGCTTGTCCTCACTTCAGGCATCGACAAACTTCCAGGTCACCAGTCTCCATCCCTTGGGATCTCTGACACCTAGAACACCTTCAGCTTTCCCTACAAATGCTGCTGTTCTCTTAGATGATTTCAACATTCACGTAGGTGACTTTTTCCCAGACTCTGTTCCTTGATCTCTTCATCTCCAAACACCTTCTCCACTTCTGCTACTCCTCTTCCAAGGCCATACCTAGGACTTGCTCTCTCCCAGAAGAGCACTACCTCCGAAATCCTAAAGTCAGGAACTTCATTCACTGATACAACAACCTCTCTCACTTGACTCCTCCCTACGTATTAATTCTCCAATCTCACCACCAGATTATTTCACTCGATGTCGACAAAGACGCTCTCACCTTAACCAAACTCTAGTCAGGCTCCTCCTGAGCCCTCTTCTGCACTAGGCTTCAACCCTGGCCTATAAAAACCCACACTTTCAACATAAATGATTTTGTTTACTCCTCCCACTAAGACACCAGAACCAACACTAGCATAGTTTCTAACAGTTCATGGCCATGTTCTTAGGGTGATCCCAATCGCATTTTAAGTTCCTACCTGAAAAAGTACAAGACTGGCAGGAAAATTTACAGCTTGTTTCACCTCCTTCCTAGTCCCTCATTCTCCCTTTAAAACACCCAGTCACCTCTGCACAAACTGAAGTTGAGTTCAGTTCACACCAGACTCTTTTCTCTATTGCAATTACATTACTGAATAAAATCTACGCTTGCACCACTTCACTTTGACAGTGTAATTCTATGTGACACAAACACACACACACAGAGGCACAGGCACATACACACACACTCCATCCCACAAGTTTGCCTTTGTCCCAGCCTCAAACATTCTGTTGCTGGTATTCTCAATCCCTTAGGGAAAAAATCAAAATTCCCTAATACAGCATATGAGCAAATTGGCCTCTTCCTCATTTCTGAACCCTTCTTTCTCTACACTCTATGCTCCACACCACTCCACATCTTTCACTACCCTGAATTCACCCTGCTCTGCCTCACTCCTAGCCTCTGCCATGTTGGTTCCTTGACCCGGTATACTCCTCTCCACTTCCCTGGCCTATACTGACTCCCTCTTCAATTAGTATCTCATCGCCAGGAAACCTTCCTCGATGCTCCCTCTACACTAAGTTAGGTTGACCTGCTACATGCTCCCAGGACAATGTGGTTTCCTATATCATGTATTATAATAGCCTGGCTACCTACTTGCTTGATAACAGTACCCTTAAGGCAGGGAATAGTTAGTTCTGTCTTGCTTATCACTCTCTGTCCTAACACTTGCTTCACTACCTGAAACTAAATAGGAATACAGTAAGTATGTGTTAAATGAATAAATCTTTAGGATCATTAACATTCCGTGAGAGAATGCTAGCCCATATGACAAAGTTCTCATCACTGAAATCAGTTGAAGCATCTCCAATTCTTTCGCCAAACATTTAAAAATTTTGAAAGACAGGACAAAGCATATAATGTTAAACACTAATGAAATTTGCAAAAACTATGGTATGATTCCACCCTATTAGCATATTTGGGCAATTTATAAATGAAAAATATTTATAGGGGTTACCTAGGATAACTAATTAAGACTAACCCTTTCACTGCTAAATCTTTCCATTTATAGATCATCTTTCTTTGGAAAGGATACCAACTCCATACTTGGTGGTGAATATAAAAACTACAGCCCAAGATTACTATATTTAATGCCAAAGTTAAAACCTGAGTAAATTATAAAAATACTTTTTTGTATTTAAAAGTTTGGATCAGTGTTACCATCTTTTACTTATTTACTGGCATCGTGTGTTACTTACTGATAAATTTGTACTGTTGGGTACATACTGATCCTGTGCTCCCAGCAACACATCAATCACAGGGTGCCGGCCATTTTTAATCAAGATTTTCCTTCCCTCTTGTAGAGTTGGTCTGCGAAAAGAAGCATATTTCAATTTACTAGGCATGAAAACTGCCTTTAAAAAAATCTCTAAGTTCTAGCATAAAAGATAAGACTTTAAGAACACACACCCAGAATAAGGCTTTGAGTACAAAAGTTAAATTTTAACTATAAAATAAGAATTGGGAGGACAATTATTATAATAGTGCTCGAAGCACAAACTTTAGCAGTGTCTTACAATACCTCCACTGCTGAAGTCTACTCTACGAGATCTTTTTTTTTCTACTATTCTCTAAGATCAATATTTTCATTACTAAAAGTTACAGTTCAAATTATCGCCATTTAAATCATTTTCAGTTATAAGAATATAGGAAGTCATTAAAAATTATTTCCAGATTCAATTATTACATTAGTAGAAATTATATTATGTGTTGCACTTGGGAGACCTAAAATTTTCATATTCTGTTTAACTGAAACATCTTCCTATGGTCTTTAGTATCTTTCACTTTTCTTGATACAAAAAAAAAAATTTTTTTTTTTTTGCCTTGCTGGTCTTCCTTTTAAAGCTTTTATATTTCTGTTTTTATCTATAGCTTTATGTATTTACCAAAGCCAACTGTGAGCACTGCCCTCCTTTTATTCTCCTCCCCAGAGATTACCACTGAGATCAGTGTGGTGTCTACCCTTCCCAAATTTCTTCTCTGCATTTAGGTTTTTACACACTCACTGTGCTGGTTTGTGATTTCATTAAAAAAACAGCAAAACAAATCAGGATCATACTGTAATGTGTTATTCTATAACTACATTTTCCCCCTTAATACTCAATACACATTAAAAGAAATAGGTTTCACAATTTACCAATGGACCCTTTTATTTTTCTTAATACTTTCAAGTCATTTTACAAATAATCTGCAGAGGTGGCAATAAAGGGGTAGTAAAAACAAAACAAAACTTCATGACAAATTTTATTAAGAACTTAAACAGAGCAAATCTCAAATTTTTGTTCCACATTTTCCTGGTCTTAAAGGCATATATACTTGGAATGGGCAACACACTCTCAATGTAATTAACTGCTCATCAGCTATCATGCATGCACCTGGACCACAGTCATTCATAAATACTAATTCTAGGTTTCAATACATTTCTAAAATGTTCTAGCTTATCATAATTTCTGGTTCTTCTCCCACTTGCATGGACAAAAATGCAATACTTGGAATTTTGAAATCTTCGAAAGCTTATCATTATGTTGAGGAGAGGACAGCCATCTTCTTTGCTCCACAACTGCAAAACATTTTCAGTTTTATATTTATAAATACCAAATTAGAATAGTTGATCAAATCAATTATTTTTATTTCACATCATCTATTTTCTTTCAATCTCCTCCCTTCAGAACCTGTGGACTTACAAAGAGTATCAAGCAAACTTTAGTGCACAATCATCATAAAGGCAAAAGAAACCACTACATATCCTTTTAGCAAAACAGGATGGTTCAGGTTCTTGCCACCAAATATTGCATGATGTGTGCTGCCTATGGAATAACTAACTGGAGAAGAACACATTTCATTTTGTCCTTGGAAATACATCATTCGCACACTGATTCTTGAGTTTGGGAAAATTCATCTAGGATACTGTCACCTGAACACTTACGATCTGAGATTTTGTTTATACAAGAAATATCATCATCATCGGTAGTATCTAGAGCACTGCTATCTTTCTCTTCACATTCATCTTCTGATTAATCTGATAACTGTGAAATGTCTTCTGTCACTTTTGTCCTCTTTGCTATTATGGGTGAAAAATTTAAAAATTCAGACTTCTCAACTATGCTCAGTGAAAGTTAGAAACAATAGTTACAATGTGTGAAAGTTAATCACTACATTAATAGAAATTAATTAATTATAACTATAACAGTTATAATAACTGCTGTAGTTAGACTACAACAGTGCTATTTCCAGTCTTTTATAACTTCCTGAAGGACGATGCAGCACTTTGGGCAATACAATCAGAACAATGAAGGATGGTGTGGTAGTGATTTTTATCTTACCTTTGCATCATCACCCTCTAGTTTTCTTATATTTGGACTTTTTAGTAGAAATAATTGATAAACAATAATAAACTAATTCTTAGGATGACGAAATAGCAAGATGTTCCAGATATAGAAAAGACAAAAATCATTAAAGATCCCAAAGTGCATCTTAGATTTATAAAAGGGTCCAATGGACCCATATGGTAAATGCAAGACAGAATTTTATTCTCCTTTAAAAAAAAAAATGAATTTTCTCTTTGTTCTTTAAAAGACCTTTAAGAAACTCAAAAACTGAAATTAGGTCCAAAGGACCCTGATGGTATGCTATACTGAAGACTTAGGATCATTTCTTGTCATATCTTCAGCATTCTTTTGAAGCTGCTGCATAGATAAGTCAGTTGTTCTCCACTGTCCAACATTTAGACTGTGTCTAGATTTTCACTGTTATAAACAATACTGCAATCAACAATCTTATATATATGTCCATGTGCATACGGACAAATGTTTCTTAAGCTAGAGTAAATTCCTGAAGCGGACTTTCTAAGTCATAGGGTATGCATACTTTTTATTTTAACACATAGAAATATTGTATCAGTTTATCTTCCCACCAGCAGGATATGAAAGTTGACTTTGTTTTTTCATACCTTCACCTGAAGTAGGTATTATCTAATTTTCTAATTTCTGACAATGTGTTGGGTGAATAGTGTTCTCGAATCGTGTTAACTTGCACTCATTGATAACTAAATACTTTGACTCAGAACTTTTCACATATAAGCACATTTCTGACCTTATTCATAAGGCTAAGAAATACTACTTCCCTAAATACTTAAATCCTTTTCCTTAAATATATCTGGCTTACAAAACCCCAAGTATGTACACTCACATTTCTCAAAGAAAATAAAGTACCTTCTGAGTAATTTAAAATTATCCATTGGAAAGAGACTTTTAAAATGACAGGAAAAGGATATTTTTTTTAAATTTCAAAGTTTAATTCTAAAGATAGGATTTTTATATAGGTGCATTATAAACTTACTATAAAAAGTGAAAGCATCTGCAAGTAATATCAGTTTTAAAATAAAATCCTAGGTGTTCTGCCAAGTGAGATCAATAGATCATTATTCATGACACTGATATGATTTCCCAGGAAGGTTTTCACTTTAGAATAAAAATTTGAGTGATCTGTTCTGCTCTAAAATCTACACTGACTTACTCTGTTGCTATCAAAATTATATAATGACAAAACACTTCCTGGTGGAATGAGAAGCAAATCATAATTTGGAGAGATGAGATGATGTACGAGATTAGAATAGTTATAGCAAGAAGGATATGAAAATCATGTTGATGATATGGCATTTAAGAAGAGCTGAGGAAATTTAGATGCTGCCTGGAAAGAATGAAACATTAAACTTGAACAAATTTATTTTATATTTTTGAAATTGCATCTTTCTCCTTTAAATGCCTCAGGGAAACAACGTAATTAGTAAAACAATATAACATCCAGAACAAAAAATGGATAGAAAGACTTAGAATAAGAACTTCTGTCTCAAGGTTAGGCTACAGTGAATAAAATGTCCTAAGAGCATTTAGGAAGAAAAGACTGCAATTATGCAGCCAAACATTCAATTTGAACTAAGTGCAATAGCTCAAATGCACTAAAATCTTTAAACAAGCTGGAAATCTAAGGGAAAAAAAGGTATAAGTTTCAGATACTTAAATACTAGCTTAAAATGCATTTTAGTTAAAAGTTTCTTATTTCATGGCTATTTACACTCAATTTTATTTCTGCTAAAAAAAAAAAAGAGAGAGAGAGAAGTTGATTATATTCCTTGAACTTTATAGCATGATTTTTCATTTAAAAATATTCAGGTGGATTTTTCTTAACATATAGTATCCAATTTGGAAAGTATTTTAGCATGTGAAATATTTCCTGAAGTTGTCTTCATGAAAGAATATATCAGTTGGAACAATCCTACTGAGGCCAAATAGGAAAGTTAGATAAAGTATAGAAAACAGTTACCTGATGGTATCTGATAACTAACAAGAAAGCAAGGAATTAGCTGGCCAGGACCTGGGGCAGGACAGAGACCCAGGGGTTGTGTCTGTGGATTCCTAAGGGAACCACTAAGGGAAAGCACTATGAACAGCTTGGCTCTGGACTGAGACACCAATGGGCTGCACACCAGGCAGAGAAACACATTTGAAGTAATAATGGCAACCTTTGAATCTCTGAGTCACCTCAAGACCTGATATGGATTAAGTGATGCCAGATTATTATTAGTGTCTTAAGATGCCTGATAGAAGCAAATGTGACTCTTTTAGGTGAAATATAATATCAAATTATTTCTATAATGATTCTGCAAATACAATGCTCATAATGTAATCAAAACAATCAGGAATTCAAAAAGATCTAAGAATGGAAATGAACAAAAACAACAAGCAATAGAAACAGACCCACAAGAATTCCAGATGTTTGAATTACCAGACACAGACTTTAAGATAACGATGCTTATCATGTTCAAAGAGACAGATAAGATTGAGAACTGGCAGAGAACTAAAAATGATTTTTAAAGAATAAATTATTATGGGTATGAAAGATTCTAACAACCCTTAAGTTTAGATATTTCTATTAAAGACAATTTTTAAAATACTTTTTTTTTTTACTTAATTCCTTCTGATTTTTGAATAAATATCTTTGAATAATATTATCTGCTATTTACTAAGTTCTTATCGTCTGTCTGGTTCTGCTTAGAAGTTTAATATAGCTTTATCTCATTTAATTTGTACAACAACTCTGAGAGGTAGGTACTCTGTTAATGCAGAAACTGAGGATCAGAGAGGTTAAGTAACTTGCTTAAGGTCAGCTGCCAAATAACCAAGCCTAGCCTGTCTGATCCAAAGTCTACACTCCAAAGGATATGCCTAAAAAAGTTCAAATTTTACTTGCAAATCAAGGGGTCTCTTAGTAAATGTACTGAAGTAAATAAGCAGAAGCCCCAAAATGAAAAATTTAGGACCAAACTTGAATATTGTAGATACTCAAAATGTTTGTTAAATCTCTGATGAGTCTACAAAATTAATCATAGTTTTATAGTGACATAATAAGGAATGCATTTTCACTCAGAGATTTTGCCAAAACTAGCTCTCAATAAAGAATACCTACAACTGTAAAATTCATCCCATTTACTAATTCATAACTTCTTGCAATTTTATATATGAATACTTGAGATTTAAACAAGAGTACACAGCTAATCAGTGACAGAGGATGGGCTAGAACCAGACCTTCTGATATCAAAGCTAGATTCTGGTTATTATAATGCCCTGAAAATGATGTATTACTTTAAATTACATATTATGTGTAATATATATGTATGTTGAGGCTTACAAATAGGTATATACGCACATACAGATACGAACACTTAAATATGATGTAATATAAACCACAAGCCCGCAGACATGGTTCTTCTGTTCTTCTAGCTGCTGCAGCAGCAAATGGCAAAAGGCCACTTGAAGAAGTGCAGGAAGAGAAAAACCAGGCATCGGTATTTTTCAGTGGAAAGAGCTTTGTGTGAAAACATCACCAAGTGTACAGATTGTAGCCGATCCTCTGCTTAATTCACAAATCCATTAGGAAAGTTAGCTTCACAAACCTTGTGCACCAAGAAAGAAGTCCTAATAAGATCACAGTACATAAGGAAGGAATCGAGTCAACGGAAGATAGACTCTTATTCTCCCAGAACTAGATTCAACTAGAGTACATTTACAGATCTCATTTTCATGAATGATAAATTGCACAAAATTTTCAAAGTCCTCTGATGTGAAAAGAAACTGAGTAATAATAAAAACGCAAAGAGCCTATTTTATTTTATTTTTTATTTTTTTATTTGACAGAGACACAGTGAGAGAGGGAACACAAGCAGGGGGAGTGGGGGAGGGAGAAGCAAGCAGGCTTCCCGCTGAGCAGGGAGCCCGATGTGGGGCTCGATCCCAGGACCCTGGGACCATAACCTGAGCCAAAGGCAGACGCTTAATGACTGAGCCACCCAGGCGCCCATAAAAGAACCTATTTTAAACAAAACCATTGTGCACAGTACAGTAGATCACTCCATACATAAATGGGTAGCAAAACAAAATGAAACAAAACAGCAAACTAAGTACATTTTTATCTAAAACTGGGGTAGCCAATTCCTGCAACTCTTCTCCCATAAATAAATAAATGCTTTACAATAAAAAAACTATTTTTTAACATCCACTATGGGTATTATGCTAGTATAAAGAGAACATTTAAATGTTAAAAAAAAAACATATTCGACACAAACTAGAGAAAACATGAAAGAAGTATGAACAGCAGAACATATCCTCTCAAACATAACGAACTCTGTATACCAAAGCACTGATAGGCAGTATCACTTCCATGTTTTCTTTTTAGAACTCATAATAAGCCAGTGAGTTAAATATTCCCTTAAATTTCCTTAAGTATATGAAAAAATAGGCTTTGTGCTACAGAGTGAATGTTTGTGTCCTCTCCCAAATTCATATGAAACCTAATGTGATGGTATTGGGGGTAAAGCCCTTGGAAGGTGATTAGTTCATAAGGGCAGAGCCCTCGTGAATGGGCTAGTGGTTTTATAAAAAGAGCCCACAGAGAGCCAGACCACAACTGGGCAAAGCTCTCCAGACCCACAGAGCCACCAGTACAAAATTCCAGCCTGGGAGAGCCACAGGGCATCAGCATCAGCAGACGTGGGACTACCAGAAAGCACACCAGGCACAGGGCATCGACAGACATGGGACTACCAGAAAGAACTAACTCAGGGGCGGGGCCCAGGCACAGGGCCACCAAAGGGGCAATGTGGCCTAGAGCTCTGGGGGCCCAACCTTGGCCCCGCAAAGCTACAGGAACAAGACTGCTGCCCCAGTCGGTCTGGAAGGTGGGAACCCCTACCCAGTGGGCCTGGAAAGCAGAGCAATGAACCAAAGATTTGGCTCAAGCCTAAGGTTTTAGACTTAACGAAGAGCAATTTGATAGCAATAGAGACACTGTCTCGAAATGGATCACACATTCAGCTTCATCCACATCTGATTTAGTTGGCATTTAAATAAGACTTATAAAGTGAAATATATTACAAAGTGTTCAAGTCAAAGCTAACAAATGAAAGGATTACGCCTTTAAAAAAATGTCACCCATATAAACTTAAAAATTGAAATATATAACACTCACCTCTAGAGTTATTGTGAACATCTGCTTTCATTGTACTCAAAGACAGAGCAAGCAAGAAAGGAATTTGTTAATTTTAAATCAGGCCATGTGTGTATGACATTCAGCTTTACCAAGAATCCAACGTATCTGCATATTTTAATATTTTATAATAAAAATACTAAAAGTAATGGGATAATGCCATCTGATCTAAAGCACTGAAAAGGAGGGGGGAGTTAAAAAATACATTACCTGCAGTAATCTCCTTGCTTAGCGACCTTGGCTAGAGAGAAAATGCAGTCAATAGTTGCTAGGTGATGTACTGCTTTACACAAGGAGTGATAATGTTCACTGAAATTCCTACAGAAGCAACAACAAAAAGGTGAACACGTTGATTTCTTAGATCTGTAAAAGCTGCACAATACGCAATCACTTTATTAGCTAAGATGAGCATAAACAAAATAACCAGAGATACCTAACAGTTAAGAAACATGGATATTACTCCAGACGACTTCTCAGTTTAATATAACTTGATTACTGAGGCTTCTATATAAAGATGTCTACTATTAATACTGTATTGCACATTTCATTTGACCATGACACGTCAACCTTAACGTAATTAACACAAATGTAGTGATCACTTCCATTCAGCTTAAATTAACATGAACTACCCAGGTGGCTCAGCTTGCCTTTGTGCTTCTCCTTCATAGCATCATCCAAACTAGGATTAATAGTTTCAGTATCTTTCTCTCACACTGAACTGGAAGGTTCTCGATGGTAGGGTCCATGTTCGTCTGATTTTCCTATCATTATTAGCTCCAACATCTAGCCCATAACTTTGATATGCAGTAGACATTGTAATAAATTTCATTAAAAGCAAGCAAATAAAGTACTTTTTTTCAGTGATCTTCAGTTATCTTATTAATAATACATATATAAATTAAATTTTAGATTTATTTTAAAAAGATAATGATCAGTGCCTCAAATCTTTGGCTAATTAAATCACTTGTGATCTAAAGGCTTAAAAGACTTTTATTGAAAGACTTATTCAGAAAACATATAGGAATGTAGGCAAGCGCTTTCCTTTTTTTATTGTTTAAATTATTCCATTATTTCCTTTATTTTTTAAAGACCTATTTATTTTAGAGAGCATGAGAGCACAAGCAGAAGAGGCAGGGAGAGAGAGAATCTCAAGCAGACTCCCCACAGAGCACGGAGCCCGACGCAGATCTCATGACCCTGAGATCATGACCTGAGCCGAAACCAAGAGTCAGACACCCAACCAACTGTGCCACCCAGGTGCCCCAAATTATTCCATTATTTCACATCATAGGTATCTCTTACATCCTTTCAAAGAAGATTCCCACCAAAGTAGAATATTAGGCTGAATTCTTCTCTTAAAAATGATTTCTCTCTGGGCGCCTGGGTGGCTCAGTTGTTAAGCGGCTGCCTTCGGCTCAGGTCATGATCCCAGGGTCCTGGGATCGAGCCCCACATCGAGCTCCCTGCTCGGCAGAAAGCCTGCTTCTCCCTCTCCCACTCCCCGTGCTTGTGTCCTGCTCTCACTATCTCTCTGTCAAATAAATAAATAAAATCTTTAAAAAAAAGAAAAAAGATTTCTCTGTTGTATTATGGGTTTCAGAAACTTTGAGATTTAATCTGCTTCTTAAATCCAAAAGTTTTAGAATGCTTCCTAGCTTGAAAAGGATATCCAGATTAAGCTATTATGTGATCAGTTACTCCTATATTATCATTATCTTGATTTTTTAGAATCTGTAATACGATTTCTCTAGTTATAAGGTATTCCATGCAAATGACTTTTCCACATAACAGAAGCAACATTTTAAGCACCCATTTTTATTTTTGTGTTAACGTTATGAATTAGAAAATATATTTATAGTATATTTTATACCTTTTTATCTGAATAGATAGAACATAATAAATATAATTTACCTATTTCTCACTGAATTAAGGTTCATCAACACAAGCAAGAATCCCACTAACAGTGGTTAAGAGTCTGTGCAAAATCCCAAACACAAAGGAGACTGGCCCCTGGCATCAGACAGACAATGCTCAGTTGCCACCTTAAAAATGACGCACTCCATTGTGAAGATGCCACATGCTACGTGGACCTAACACTTCTGAGTGACTGCCCAGTGATCATGCCTTGTCATTCCTGGTCTGACTTCAGTTTTAGATCTGACCACTGGTTTATCTGTTGGACTGTATTGCGTTCTGTCCCTGTTCTAATTACTGACCCATCTGGTCCTTCCTATCCTGGCACTCTGTTTTCCCAGAGAGTGGCCACATTTGGTGTCTCTCCTCTTGCCTCTCTGGAATATGAGTATCAAAGTATCTTTGGCACTAAATAACTCTCATTTTTTCTTCACTCTCACTCCCTGCTTCTCAGCTCTTGTCCAGGCCACCAAGACCCTAATTAATTTGCTACTATCTAGGAGCCTTAGGTTGAGGGTAACTGTCCCTCATGATATTCTAGTGTCTGGGATTGAAATGAGTGACATAGCTCTCAGTGGGTACCATTTGGGTTAAAAAAATAAGAAAAAAGAAAAGGCAGAGAGAGATAAGGTAATTATTTTGATATAGACAATAATGTTCTTTCTCATGTCAATTATATAAATAAGATGTGTGAATAAAATGAAACACTATCATAAACCTTTAACATCATCATCATAACCTAGGAAGTCTTGTTTGACTTCTTGATCTTTGTCCATTTGCTATACTTTGCCAAATTTCAAAAAGATTACCCATACCTAGAAAAATAACAAGCTAAAAAATGGGCAATTCAAATAACAATCTGATAAGACTGGGTTTATGTCACAACAGGCAACTTTATCACTAAGCCACCAACCAACTTAAAGATGAAGCCAAAGTACTATGATTTAATCTCTGGTCAAAAGATATTGCCACATCCACAGGAAAAATTAAGATTAAAGTACTTGGGTTCTAAAGCTGTTAGGACAGTCTACCATCAGATGTTGCCCAATGACATGTAAAATCAACAAAAAAGGAAAATATTTTATTTTTTATTTGCAAATTTATTTCTAAAATATTTAACCTACTGCACGAGAGACATTATAATTCAATTTTTAAAAAATCTCCAATCAAGAAGATTATTCAACATCCACAGCCCATCTTCTAGGAATACAGATGAAGAGACACATTTTTTTCAGAGAAAATTCCATTTAGAGTTTCTTACAGCCTTGATTTCTTGCAATATTTTGATCAAAAGTAGTATGACTAATGTATAATGGTTAGTATCTCAATAAGAGACAAATACATGTGTATAGCTGGTATTCAATCCTCTGATGTCAGGTTCACTGAGGTTAATCATTTTTTAAAATGACATCATATTCATACCATCTGGCACCTTAATAAATACCGTACATTACAATCAATGTTGTTCTCAAGTGGGGGCTCTAGCTGCAAAAGCTCTAGCAAAAATTCAGCCAATATTATTTTTTTAGATAAAACCATTAATGTATTTTTCTTATTTTTGAAAGTAATGTAAGTACATTAAAGACACTTTTGATATCATGTATTTGCAAAGTAAATTAAAATCTCCAGTAATCTCACCATCCAGAAATAATCAGTTAATATTTGAGGATATATATATGAAGACATTTCTCCAGAAAAGGTATACAAATGACCAATAAGCATACTGGTAATACAGTAATGGAATATATACATTTAATCTTTTAAAATAAAAAGATTTAGGGGCACCCTGCGTGGCTTAGTAGGTTGAGCTTGGTCCAACTCTTGGTTTCGGCTCAGGTCATGATCTCATGGGTCATGAGATCAAGCTCTACACAGGGCTCTGCACTCTGTGGGGAGTCTGCTTGGGGATTCTCTCCCTCTGCCCTCCCCCACTTGTGCATGCATGCATGCTCTCTCTCTCAAATAATCTTTTAAAGACAGATAAAAAGATTTGTTTGCTGTGCATGTATGTGAATTTACACAGAACTGCATCATCCTTCAATACTGTTTTGCATTCTTTTTTCACTTAGCAATACAACATGAGTATCATATTCTTCTGTGATGCTGTATTTAATGTCACCTCACTCAAAGGGGTAGTATGATGAAAGCTGAATTCTCCTGGGTTAATTTGGTAGAAGGCAAAGAGCTGATACAGGAAGAATAATACACAGAAATAATGGGGTGCTAGAACAGAACAGAGAAGGGGCAAATCAAAGATACATTGCAAAGGGAAAAGACAAACAGGAATTTGATAAAAGATAAAGGGGCAAAAGGGGAAAATGCCGAAGTTTTCGGCCTGAGAGATCTGAACTTTATCTTTAGTCTAGAATAACGACAATGAGAACATAAACCAGATCTGTAAAATCTTGTATACTATGAACAGAGAGAATACGTATCATCTCACCCAATCCCAGAACCCTAGAACGTGGCCCTTGAAGCTTGAAAGGACTAATTTTCATCCAATTTTCATGTCTCAGTGATACTTTTTTTTTTTTTTTTAGTAATCTCTGCACCCAGCATGGGGCTCTAACTCACAACCTCAAGATCAAGAGTCGCACGCTCTACCAACTGAGCCAGCCAGGCACCTCTCAGTGATATTTCTAAGGGGAAAACCAGGAGAACTTGAGACTCAAGGGCCCTAAAGACCCTTAAAATGGGAAACTGAAAGCGAACTGGAAAAGGAAATGAATATACCAAGTTTCTATCCCTGGGTCCAAGATTCAGAGTTAAGATAACCTCAGAAGATTCAGGATAAGTAAATTAGAATGTGTTTCTAATGCTCTAATTCAAGACTCCTCTGGGCAAAAAAATGGTACCAACTACCTTTTAAGAACTGTCACTTAATATCTTTGTGCACCCTGCACTGAACCTTGGCTCCAACCCAATGTAGGCAACTTACTTCTTACTTCTGTATCTCAATTTATTCATTTGTCAATTGGGGGTGATAATATTTCAGTCACAAAGATCTTGTGAGAAATTATGACCTAATATACCTAAAGGGCTTAGATGAGTGGCTCATAGCTAAGGACTCAGGAAAGTCAACTGTACACCTCTCTTCCCAACTTCAGTCCAGCAATAACTTGAAATCAACCACAGTAGGAGTATTTACACTATAGAAACCAGCAAACGCCACAAACACTACTATTCTTCCAAAGAACTGGCTGTTAACATCTTATTTACCAGTACACCACTGACTTATCCCTGTCAATATGAACACATAACTATTAATAAGTCCAGATATGAAACATTCTTTGAGGCAATGGCAAGGATTCCTCAAAAAAAAAAAATCTCATAAAAAAGCAAAAAAGGTGGAGCACCTGGGTGGCTCAGTTAGTTAAATGTCTGCCTTCAGCTCAATTCATGATCCCAGAGTCCTGGGATCAAGTCCCCTGTCAGGCTCCTGCTCAATGTGGAGTCTGCTTCTCCCTCTGCACCTCCCCCTGCTCATGTTCTCTCTCTCAAATAAATAAAATCTTAAAAAAAAAAAACCAAAAAGGTGAGGGACTATTCTAGATTCAACTACAAAAGAAACATCATAAAATGTAACATGTGAAAGCTGAATAGAGCTTTCATTTAAAAATGAGGAGGCAGAATTAGAGAAACTCAATATTCCTTAAATTAATAATTTTTCTGGGGCACCCGGGTGGCTCAGATGTTAAGCGTCTGCCTTTGGCTCAGATCATGATCCCAGTGTCCTGGGATCAAGCCCCGCGTCGGGCTCCCTGCTCAGCGGGAAGCCTGCTTCTCCCTCTCCCTCTGCCCCTGCTTGTATTCCTTCTCTAACACTGTCTCCCTCTGTCCAATAAATAAAATCTTAAAAAAAAAAATTAATAATTTTTCTCAGATGTGATAATAGTCTTAAGATTATATAATAGAATGTCCTTAGTTTTAGATGTACACTTAATTAAGTATTTAGGGGTGAAGTGTTATAATGTCTAAATCATACTTTCAAATGGTTCAGGAAAAAAGTATGAGAGATAAAACAAATGTGGCGAAATGTTAACACTTTATAAATCTAGATGAAGAGTATATTGGTATTTATTTCAAATTTCTCAGATTTAAAATTCTTTAAAATAAAAAGTTAGGAAGAAAATATTCAGGATGTAGAAAAATAAGAAAAAAATTAAATGGAGATAATAAAAACAAAGCAACTAACCCATTCTTTTCCAACTCTGAAAATGTTAGAGCCTTTTTGTAAGTAAAGTAAAGGAAGTCCAAGGTGGCATTTCAAAAAGTGACTCTACCAAACATCCTTAGCAACTAAATATTGGTACAGTAACAATAAAGTATATTTAGGTCTCTCATTAAAGACTAAGATGAGCTTACATTTCAATGGATTAAAAATAAAATCAGAGAACACATGTACTCAACTATTTTATGGCAGGTCACAAGCAGTAATCTCTACTTTTCTTTTTGATGGAAAGATTTTCCGGTCTATTTCTCATAGCAAAAAGTCAGATTATATTTTTCATTGTAAACTCACTCTAGAAAATCAAGCCATTCAGCACTGCAGTCAAGGACTAGCTGCTCCCGGAGTTGATTCAGATGTCTGTAATTTTCTACAATAAAAGGAGAGTGAAAACGGCTCACAGCTTTTGTGCTAGAAGAGGGGAAGAAACATAAATAGGAAATCAAGGTTACTAAGAAATCACTAATGCCATCACTTCAGAAAATTAAAGTAGTTATTTATTGTTCTCTGATGAACCTTGAAAGTAAATAGCTGTAAACAGAGACCATTCTTTAATTATGGTGCTGAACTCTATTGATTCCAAAGATCTGTTGTAAATAAAGTACTTGGAGTTCACAGGACTTTGTTCAGGAGCTCAAATTCATTTCAAATTATATCCATATGGCAAAGTCAAAGTTTAGAATTTCCATTTCATAAGCAGAAAGCTTTTTTCTTTAAATTACACTAAATGAAAATGCTTGCTTATTAAAAATCAGAAGCAAGTAAGTCCTGACAAAGCTGGGTACATGGATGAAAGTCCTATTACTCTTTATGTTTGACACTTTTCTGTATAATTAATGTATTTCAGTGAAAAAAGAAAAATATAAAGAATTACAAAGAATAGCAATGCATTAATTCAGGAGGCAATCAAAGAAGAGGAATGTTGCATGATCTAACTGTAGATTCACAGTGGCCCCAGATGGGAAGAAATATGACATGCTCCTCTTGTGGGCTTGTGTATCGTCTGTTTCTTCATCAAGAAGCTGTAGAGCACAAAAGGGGATGCCATGGGTTCCCAGTTAAAAAATCCGGGCCAAGGCTTTATCTCTAACCACTTACTTGCTACCTATTTAACCTTAAGCAAATATAAGTGACCTTCTCTACACATCCCTTTCCTCATCTATAAAATGGGTATAATGACAGTATCTACCTCATAGGTACTGTTGAGAGGATAAGATAGTGCTTAGCACAGTACCTATGTCCTATGTCATTAGTACCCAATGTTAGGAGTTGTTCTGTGGAGGTGGTGATTGCTACTGCTGTTGATATTACTATTATGATTGGACCTATGAGAAGAGAAGATCAGGACTGAGTGATACGCAGGTGATGACAGAGTGTAATTACTGTTCTTTGTTTGCTCCCCAACTCCTGTCCCAATTAAGTTTAATTTGGCCAGTTATTGGACTAGGGGTGAGCCTTTCATATTCAAATTCTGACTAATAGTCTAACCTATCCCTGTCAAGGTTCCAATAGCCAAATGACATATAAAAATAACAATGAACCTCCCCAAAGCCATCTTATTTATTCATTCAATTTACATCATTGAATGTTCAAAAGATGCTGGCACTGATTTATGCCTTCCGTGTTGCTTCTGAAATGTCATCTAGATTTCTATGCCAACATATTTATCATAGCTTTCTCTTCTGATAAAATTCATTTAGTGAAACATTTCAGTTTCTTAGATAATTAGATGTACAATTTTAAATAATTTCTCTTCGTAAAACATACTTCAATTCATGAGCTGTAAGGTAGGACAAAAGTAGATAAAGGAAAGAAAGCCTGTGAAGAGAGAAAACAGCCCCTAAAATCAACAATACTCAAATCTCACCTACAGCTTCTAGTAACATAGGAGAAAAAAAAAAAAAAAATGGTAACAGAGCTAAAGAAACCCATGACTGTGCCTTCAGAATCCTTTGATAATGGCAATGGATACTAGTTTTTTTCTTTTAATTAAATAATAATCATTCACAGATGTTAAAATTTTCTTTTATCCTTAACAGAGTTCCTTCATATAAACACCAGCTACTATACTAGTCCCTCTTATGCTCACTTAGACAAATGTAACATTTTCATCTCAAGTTCATGCAAGCATATTAATAACAGTAGCAATAAATACTTCACAAAGAATATTACTCACAGGAGTACATACTTCGTTAATACCACTTCTTTATATGAGTCCCCTTTGGGGGATTAATGCCTAATCAAGGAGAAAAGGCAGTCTCAATGTGGTTCTCTAATTCTGTTTTTGATTAATTTGTTTTCATCAATTCATGAATAACTTACAAAAAAGAAGCCATAAAGAACTGTTATAATTATGTGCATTGGAAAGCATCAAGAATAAAGAAATGCAGAACTCAGTGAGGCAGAAAATGAAATTTCAGCTTCCTAAAAGAAATTTCAGGTAGAGCACTCAACAGGAATTTCAAGCAATCAAATTAATCTTATTACTGAAGATGCCCCAATATTTTTTTTCATGTGTTTAAAGTGTACTCTGAGGTGTAAGAATAAAATGGTAATTTACAAAACAGGAAAACAAATGTATACAAGTAAGATACTCTTTGGAAAAAATATTTTTAAATCAATGATAAAAAATATTTAAAATAATTATTTCTTTGGTTAAAAGTTCCATAAGAAAACCAAAGGGAAAGAATTACTTTTTATGTCAAGGATGTTGTTATCTTCATTCCAGTAGTATACAGGTATACACGTCGTAATTCACATTAGTAAGAAAAAATGTAATTTTAAACCCACCTTCCAACCTTAACCCAATCAGTTGGTATACAAGATACAGCAGAATTCTTTACTTCAATCATAAACTAAAAGAAATACAAATAAAAATTAGATATTTAAATGATTAACCATTATTAAAGCTTCCTCAAAATTGTGCTATAAATTTAGTAAATACTACTCTCAACATGCAAAATAAATCCAGTATTGTTAATAGGAAAGTTCAAATATGTCCACCCAACCAAATATCATTACTTAGGGTTGCAATACTTGGGATAAAGTACAATATGTATTGATCGAAAGTTTGTAATAAGCATATAACTCGGCACTTTAATGTTTATAACGTTGTCATGTGCACATGTGGCGATTTTTCTTTTTTTAATGGCCTCTTTCATTTATTAGTACCCAATTAAGAATTCCATTATACTCAGTAATAAGACTGAAGTTCTTACAAAGTACATACAATTTTAAAATATCAATTACGATGTGCTATACCAGTTTCAGACATGGTCCATCCCCTACTCTGAACAGAAGAAGATTTATTGTCATAGTTTTTATCCAAAGAGCCCAAGTGCTCTAAGAATATCCTCATGAAAAAGTACTGATTTCTTCAGCTATTAAGGGAAGAAGAGATTTCTTCCCATCAGTGTTTTAAGTTTTCACTCATATGAACCATATCTTTATAGAGCCGTGTTCTGCAAGCAAGCTTTTCTGAAATCAATCAGGAAGCAAGTGAAATAAACTTCTTCTATCATGCCTTTCCTTTTTAGCATTAGTTGTATATCATCTCTTCCTCCTGCTCACTCTCCTATATTACTGAATAAAATTGTGTTTTATTTAAATGAATAAACACACAAACACTTATTTTATACAGGAGGAAACCCAGAAGCTCTGTGGCTACCACTAATTTTGAGATGGCACAGGAACTTTTTTACACATACCAGTTTTATAACATTTCTGGTATTTATAATATGCATATTATTAATAATATTGGCCTATCTTTGAGTTTATTTTTCTATATAATTTTTACATTCATTATAATACAGAAATTATTGGTTAATTTTAAGAATTTTGGGACTAATGATGTCTTCCTGGATAGAGAGAAATTAATACAATTTCAAATCTGCTACACCCAGTTAAATAGTGAAGAGTCAAAAGTCTAAAAAAGTTCCCTTCGGCTACAAAAAGTAACTGAGGAAAAAAATCCACAAAATAAATATCATTGAAGAGAAAGAAAAGCACATTAAGACCATGCTAAAAAATTCTGCTTAAATATTATTCGTAAATGTCCTACAAGAAAAGCATAATGATCTTTTTATAAAATAATTCTGGGAAGAGCTATGCCTGCAGCAAACAGCAAAATTCGGGGCCGCAGTGGCTCACTAATACTTGGAAAGGACACATCTAGATCTGTAAAAACACAGAGCTCCACAAGAGTTACCGTGTAAGGAAAGGTGGAAATTTTGAAAAAGAAGCTAAAACTGCCTCAGTGAGATCAGTGGGTAGCCAGATAGGCTGGCTTACTTAAGTAATTTGCCATAACACTGCAGCACGGGGCACTGGGTTCAAATTTATACCTTATACACATCACAGATCGATTCTAATCATGGCCCTTTAGAGCATGCTGGGAACAGTTTGGACCATAATGGTTCAATCTGTAAGTATCAAGGGTCTACTCTTAAGGACCACAGTTCCTCAAACAAGCCATACGCAGAGGCAATACTCGATGGAAAAGAGGGTGAGAGTTGGGAAGGCCCACATGGACCTCCTGCTAGTTACACCCCTGGGGTTACTTCTTCAAGTTGGTGCTGGTCCCGTGTGTCCTCTTCTCAGCTAGGGTTTCTCTTGAGAATTGTCATCTACTAGCAGGTTTTTTTTTCTCTTCTACACTGCCTAACGAATAGGAAATTTTCTCTCTGCTTCTTTTCACAAACATTCTAAGAATGAGCAGACAAGGCCTTTAAAAAACTTTATTGCTACAGAAAAGGAAACTAAAATTGGAAATTAACATATATTTCAGAAATCTTAGAAAATTCTCACAAGCACCTTTCCATGCTCTATAGTTCCTGACTTTCTTAGGTGTTGATGCAAGAAGTATGCCTTGATTTGTTCTGGTAGTTTCTCACATACTCCTGGGATCCAATTCTGTCTTGGTTAAACGTCAGATATTGTTACTCAAACTATAGGCTGTCATATCACTGGGCTTGCATCATTGCTAACTTTGCTTAATTCACTCCAGAAACTGCTCTCTGTTTTCTCCAATACCACACTTAACCCATTCCTACTCTCCCTCTTTCTTCTCTCTCAAGAATTCTCAAGTATTTTTTCTTTAGAAGTAAGATGTAACAGAGAATGCTTTTCACATCTTAAACACACTAAGCAGAATTCAGATATGCTGCATGCTGTGAATTAATAAAATTTTTTTCTAAAGATTTTCCCCCAATATTTCTTCCCTTTTCCTTAAGAATACTACTACTTACCAATACTGCCCCAAATCTAAATATCACCCCATATCCACTCCATATTTGATTCAAGGTTAAAAGATGATTCTCTATATACACAAAATATGAGAAAAACTATCACAGAAGCAGTGAGCTAAGTTTCTGCTTTCATTATTTTCTTACAAATACTTTCAGAGTCAGAAATAATACAGTCAGTAAGGCTTATAGTATTCTAATGAGTACATAAAAACTGAGAACAGAGGTAAAAAAGGAAAGTTGTCAAAAGTATCACTGGCTTGACAATCTACTTAATTTTCCCAATAATAACGAAATCCATGTACTACATGGGCTGCTAAAATAGGTTTTTAAAAAATTATTACAAAGTTATTTCAGAACAGAAGGGTATAAAATAAGAAGCACATACAAAGTAAGGGTTTTCCTGCCTTCCTCTCTCACTTCTCAGAGGTAATCATATTTGATGGAGTCTGTTCTTGGTCCTGTAAGTATCTTTAAATAATTTGCTGATACCATTAGTACAATTTTTAAAAAGAGAATTTGACTATAACAATGCTGAATATCTAGAACTCATTTGGTTTGAACAGAATCACTAATTCTCAAAAAAATGTTGTAAAAGTGATTCTGAATCAATATACTATTCAGTTTCTATAGGTTTTTAAAAACCAGTAAGAATTCATCCCACAGTTAATAACTAAGAAATTTCTTGCCTCAAAGTCATCACCTCAACCTAATAAAGGTTAAGTAAAGAATAAGATAATTTACCTCCCTAATTAGTTGTAACTCAATTATTTCATCTCCATACTGTGCTTTTTCTTAAACTTCACTGCCACACTGATTTAAAAAAGAAAAAAAAATCTCATCTACTATCCCTTATGAATTCCTGATCAGTATTCCCCATTTTTACTGTAAAACTACCAGCTGGATCCAGGACTGTCTTTCCAAGACTTAAGCTTTATTTCAGTTTGCATAGTATGAGCTCTAAAATGTCTGGGTTTCATAAAATAAAACCCAAGATGTTGATAATCCTTGTGTTAATATTTGTAAGTAGAGTGAAATAAGGAATTGGTAGAAAGACTGGAGTCAGGCAGGACTGGGCTTCTGATTTAAGTAACTTACCTAACTATTCCAACCCTCAATTTTCTTCACTACAAAATGGGAATAACCCCTTTCTGTGTTGTTACAAATGTTAAATAATATACATAAAGTGCTTAGCACCATTCTGATCAAGTGCTTGACAAATGGTAACTATATTAGTAGTAGTAGTATACGAATAACATTTACATAGGGCTTTAATGTATGATTAAAAAGCACTTTCACGTATTTTAACTCAATTGGTCTTTGGAGTAGTCTCACGATAGGTGATTCTGCCTTGGTCACATAGCACGAAGGGGGAACTGGCACTTCACACCCAGCTTTTTCCTACTGTCATACCAGGTAACCGCCTTTCTACTACATATCTTTTATTAATGTTATTAAGCAGTTTTGATCATCTCATTTTCAACAAATAGCCCGGACTAGTGGTACTAAGGTCACTTGTTTCCTTTGGAAGGTCCTGACTGCATAGTGAAACCAACTGATGCAATTAAATATTTGGCTGGAGGGTGGGGGGGCCACTAAGTATAAATATTGTCACATTATTTTTCTGTTATATAGACTTCTAGGTGGAATACATTGTGAAACGTCTGCCTGAGGCCAAAAGATTTGAGTCCAAAAGATACACTGACTTAATCAATGGTCTATTACATGGCAGAAGATTAATAAATATTTTAATAGGGGCCCCTGGGTGGCTCAGTCGTTAAGCGTCTGCCTTCGGCTCAGGTCATGATCCCGGGGTCCTGGGATCGAGCCCCGCATCGGGCTCCCTGCTCGGCGGGAACCCTGCTTCTCCCTCTCCCACTCCCCCTGCTTGTGTTCCCTCTCTTGCTATGTCTCTCTCTGTCAAATAAATAAATAAATAAATCTTTAAAATAAATAATAAATATTTTAATAAAGATTATAATCTGTAGGGTTTCTTATTTCAAATAATTATACAAATCAGCAGTCTTTTGGCTAAATATATAAAGTAATGCAAATGTTTAAAAATTTTATTTGAAATTAAGCTCTTCCCCACTAGAAAAATATCTGCTTTTTAAAATCCTGAATAGGGGCGCCTGGGTGGCTCAGCCGTTAAGCGTCTGCCTTCAGCTCAGGTCGTGATCTCAGGGTCCTGGGATCGAGCCCCGCATCGGGCTCCCTGCTCCGCAGGAAGCCTGCGTCTCCCTCTCCCACTCCCCCTGCTTGTGTTCTGTCTCTCGCTGTGTCTCTCTCTCTGTCAAATAAATAAAATCTTAAAATAAAAATAAAATAAAAATAAAAAATAAAATCCTGAATAAAATGTTCATCCATCCAATGGAAATTATTCACAAATTTCCTAATTTGCTATCTTAACGAAGTAGAATTTCTCAAATTCCCTCAGTTAGGCTCTCTATATTTTATTAAACATAAGGTATAGAAGTAGCATGCCTCAAGACTCAGAATAAGACCGGGCGCCTGGGTGGCTCAGTTGGTTGAGCAACTGCCTTCGGCTCAGGTTGTGATCCTGGAGTCCCGGGATCGAGTCCCGCATCGGGCTCCCTGCTCGGCAGGGAGTCTGCTTCTCCCTCTGACCCTCCCCCCTCTCATATGCTCTCTCTCTCATTCTCTCTGTCTCAAATAAATAAATAAATAATAAAATCTTAAAAAAAAAAAAAAGACTCAGAATAAGACCAAAGGATACAACCACATTTAAAAAGCATACTTCTTCCTGATTCTCACTCAGATATTAATAATATCAAACTTTAAACTGAAGTATGCATGCCAAAAAACACATTCTGAACAGCAGTTACATCAGCTCATGGAAGACTCACTAATTGTAGGTTTTCGCTACAGTTTTGGGTTTTTTTGTTTGTTTTTTTCTCGCTATTTGTTCTCTAGCAGCTATACTACTAACTTCAGAAGGAAACCCTACCTTTTAATCACTGTGTGATCCAACCAACACAGGTGGTTCACTTCTATCTTTCATTATCTGCAGGCCAGAGATCAAAGACTAACTTTTCTCTCCTGGATTTAGGGTAAATGAATCCTATAAGTTATGATTAACAAGAGTCACATTTTCTATAATACAATTTCAACTAATAATATTAAAACACATGTAACATTAAATTGCATGATTTTACCAAGAGAGTAAAGTAAATAAACACACAAAAAACTGTTATTAAAATAATTCTTACCAACACAAAGTATTACATCATATTTCCAAGGAACAAAAGAGAAAATCTGAAAACAAACAAATATTCATCCTATCCTCGGATTTTTGTTTACGTTTTATGAGACTGACGCGCTGCCCACTGCGCCAAGAGGGCCGCTTTTGTTTACATTTTAAAATAGCTTTTCTACTTGAGATAAACAAATGCAAAATAAAAGTATGTTGACATTACCTCCTGTCCTGACACTGTTACATATTGTACAGAAGGATTTTTTAGTATTTTCCGTATTTCTTGTAAATGTATTTGGATCTTGTCAGTAACTTCTTGAATTTCCTCCTTCCTCTTTTTTATTAAAGGGAAGTCAGTAAGGTCTTTGAATAATTCAGTTTTATTCCCAGTTCTAAAAAATGAAAAAAAAAATGCAAATACATATATTGAAGCATACTACCTATACCAGTTATCAATTATTTTTCACAGCATGATAAATACCAAAGGGTTGGGAATCAGGAAAGCAAGGCTCTAATCCCAGCTCTGTCACTAAGTATTTATGGGTTGGTTTCTTAATTTCTTTGAATATAGACATAATTATCCCAACATCATTTTCATTTTGCAAGTTCATGATTCCCGTGGTGAAAATGAGAGATAAAATTAAGTATGTGTTGTTCACCTATGCAGAAAATAAACACGAATGTAAATACTGTCTTTCTTCCCCTTTTATAAAAGAGTTCTTTGTGTGATGAACTATAAAATGACTACCTCATAAAGGAAAACTTTGCTTCTGTGGTTTACAAACATAATGCAGACTACCGCTGGGAATCTAGGAAATAAGTGTAAGATGCCATCTGACTCCCACGTTTGAATTAATAAACTGCTACTATTTGTTCTGCCTGGACTTTATCTTTTCATCATCTGGTACCTGGAGAAGTACTGTTATCTGTCCTTGATAATGAACTGCCTAAGTTTTATATGGCAGAGGGTTACTTTCAGCTATCATAGACAGCCTTTAGCATCCCATCCCATTTCTAATTTCAAATGCAACGTCTACCAGTACCGCGAGGGAAGCTTACAAATCCATACAACAAATGGCAAATCTATTAGTTCTTCCTTTCCAGCAGTGACAGTAATCTAAGAGTCTACTACTTACTTGGCAGCTTGTTCATTAAGCATCCTTAAGTAACGTTCCACTGGACTGAGGAGTTCAGGAATCTCTAAAATAAATGTCTGGAGCAAGTCTGACCGAACATGGGAATTAATAGCAGGTATTAATGCTTGAAATTCTGACTTCAGGTGATACAGGGTTTTGACAATCAAGAAGAACTCTTGTGTAGAACACTGAAAAAAGAAATCTTTTTTAGCTAAATAACGTAAGATATATGAACATGAAGTTTAATTAGTGGTCTTTTAATTAGTGGTCTTTTCCTTTTTAGTTAATGGTCTTTTTCAAGTTAGAATTCAAGAAAATTTTAATTTACTCTATATACTAGTTAATTGAAATAAAGTATTGTTGATAACTTCTAAATGTTAAATTAATAGTTCAAACACTTTATAACATTTTAAAACTCTAAAGAAAATAATTTGGGCCAGGGAGAATAAAGCCAATACTTGTTCAATAATTTTTCACTTTAAAATATATTGACCATATAGCAAAAATGCAGTAACCAATGTCAAAAATATAAAGGACAATTCTGGGGAAATATCTGCAAAACGTGTGAGAAATAAATGGCAAAATTCTTCCCAGTTTAATGAGCTCTTCTTACAAATCTACCTGGAAAAGATGAATAATCCACAGAATAATGGCTAAGTGAACTGAATATGCAGCTCATAAAAAAAAAGAATGTCCAATAAGCACAATTAACCTCACACATAATTAGAACAAGCAAATTAAAATGACAAGATAGCATTTGTCACTTATCAGAATGCCAAAGATTTTAAAACCTGATAATAGCTAAGTCACACAGGTTATTAAAAAAGCCACTTTTATATACAATTAGTAGAGGCATAACCTCTTTGAAGAGTAAAGTGCATATACCCTTTGACTAAATAATTCCACTATTAAAAATTAAACGAAAACTATACTTAACAAGTAGTGAAAAAGTATGTGTATCTGAATATTTATAGTAGCACTATTGGTAATAATATTAAAAAGATGAATAGGAAACAAGTATCTAACAATTGGGATCTTATTAGGAAAAGCTCATACAATGTAATAGTATTAAACAGTTAAAAAAAATTAAGACATCTGTACATATTGATGTACAGATCAACATGGAACTCCATAATTTTGACAAATATTACATATACATAGTATATGTTTATACTATATACCATATGTATTTATACAGTAAAATTTCATTTTTGATTCTTCATACTATATGCATTATTCTATATAGATAAAAATGTAAATAAAAAATATCTGGAAGGGTACATATGTTAACTTACTCTAGTTACCTCTGGGTGGTGTGTATTCAGGGGGAAAGTAGAGGAAAATGTTTTATTCTTTATTTCATACCTTTATAAACACTGTTGCAATTTGTAAACATGAACATGAATAATTTTTACTTTTGGAACTTCTGATAAAGAGAATAAGCTGAACATGTTACATCTAATTTCACACTATCTTGAAACTACAGTCCAAGATTGTTTAAAAAGGCATAAAACCTCAAGAATAACTAGAAGACAGCAGTAACAACATCTTAGAAACTATAAAGTAAATAGATAAGTGGTAACTGACTTAGAAGATTCAAAATATTAGCATTTCAAGCTGGCTATGAGGAAAACTAGAACCCAACTTGAGTTACACCAAGAATCCTAAAAGACTCAAATTGGTGGCACAAATAATCTTTAGAAGAGGAAGCTGGGAGTGGGTGGGTGGGTAGAACATGACTGGTTGCAAATGAATTAAGAAGCAATTATCCCTCAATATTTTATTCCTCTCCATGCCACTGAGCAATCACTATTTTCCTAACCAACAAAAGACTAATTTTATTCTCTGGAGAAGGTAAAACATAGTGTACCTGAACCATCTTCAGGCACAGTGAAAGATGAGAATACCACCAAAAGCAAGGGATTAAAATAAGAGAAAACGGAGATTCCCAATTGCTTCCACCTAGCTCCCAGAACATCGTTAGCCATTCAGGAGGCTAAAAGAGTCCCTAGGGAATAGCACAGGCCCAAGAGGAAAATTCTGAAGATACTAAAGCAGGGTGCTCGCTTCAGCAGCACATATACTAAAATTGGAATGATACTAAAGCAGGAGTTCACTCCAAAAATGGATCAGCTAGTACACTGTACAGTTTACTTCATATTTTGCAATCCATATTCATCTACAGAGATCTTTTTTTTTAAAGATTTTATTTATTCATTTGAAAGAGAGAGACACAGTGAGAGAGGGAACACAAGCAGGAGGAGTGGGAGAGGGAGAAGCAGGCTCCCCGCGGAGCAAGGAGCCTGATGTGGGACTCGATCCCAGGACCATGGGATCATGACCTGAGCTGAAGGCAGTCGCTTAACTGACTGAGCCACCCAGGCGCCCTACAGAGATTTTCTTATCAGCATTTTATCCACTGATAAAACTCTTACCCACTCTTTAAAAATGATCAGGCATCAGATAAAAAATTCTAACATGAAATGAAAAAACCAAAACAATCAATTAATCAATCAACAAATACTAGAGGGAATACAGCCTATATACGTAGAAGAAAATGTCTTAGAAAAAACCAGTATTACTGTTGGTGGGAATGCAAGCTGGTGCAGCCACTCTGGAAAACAGTATGGAGGTTCCTCAAAAAGTTGCAAATAGAGCTACCTTATGATCCAGCAATTGCACTACTGGGTATTTACCCCAAAGATACAAATGCAGTGATCCGACAGGGCACCTGCACCCCAATGTTTATAGCAGCAATGTCCACAATAGCTATACTATGGAAAGAGCCCAGATACCCATCAAAAGATGGATAAAGAAGATGTGGTACACATATACAATGGAATACTATGCAGTCATCAAAAAAATGAAATCTTGCCATTTGCAATGACGTGGATGGAACTACAGGGTATTATGCTAAGCAAAATAAGTCAATCACAGAAAGACAATTACACAATCTCACTCATATGTGGAATTTAAGAAACAAAACAGGATCATAGGGGAAGGGAAGGAAAAATAAAACAAGACAAAATCAAAGAGTGAGACAAACCGTAAGAGATTCTTAATCATAGGAAACAAACTGAGGGTTGCTGGAGGGGAGGAGAGTGGGGGGATGGGATAACTGGGTGATGGACATTAAGGAGGGCACGTGATATAAGGCACATGGAGTATTTAGTAAGACTGATGAATCACTGAACTCTACCTCTGAAACTAATAGTAATACATTATATGTTAATTAATTGAATTTAAATAAAAACATTAAAAATAAATAAACTTTAAAAAAAAACAATATCCTCAGTTAAACAGAGAAGAATGCAATCATGAAACAAGAACGGGATACTTTTTTTTTTTAAATAGGAACATTCAGAGAACAGGATTCAATCAATTCAAAAGAACTTCAAAAAAGAAAGAACCTAAATATAACTCAGGAAAATTTCCCAGAACTTGGTTGCCAAATTTAAAGGCTCAATACATGGGGCACCTGGGTGGCTCAGTTGTTAAGCGTCTGCCTTCGGCTCCGGTCATGATCCCAGGGTCCTGGGATCAAGCCCCGCATCGGGCTCCCTGCTCCACGGGAAGCCTGCTTCTCCCCTCTCCCACTCCCCCTGCTTGTGTTCCTGCTCTCGCTATCTCTGTCAAATAAATAAATAAAATCTTTAAAAAAAATAAATTAAAAAAATATATAATAAATAAATAAATAAATAAAAATAAAAAAAATAAATAAAGGCTCAATACAATGGATGAAAACAGAACCAAATCATGGCAAATCATCATGAAATCTGAGAATATCAGGGATGAAAAGAAAATGTTCCAATTTCTGGAAGGAGATAAAGTCACGCCAAGAATCAGGAATCCGACTATCCAACAAAAATAACAGAAGCTAGAAAACAATGGAGTAACACAAAATTCTAAAGGAAAATAATTTATAGCCTAGAACTTTATACCCAGTCAAACTACCAATCAAATGTGAGTAGAAAATAAGACATTTCCAGGGGCGCCTGGGTGGCTCAGTAGGTTAAGCATCTGCCTTTGGCTCAGGTCATGATCCCAGGGTCCTGGGATCAAGCCCTGTGTTGGGCTCCCTGTTCAGTGGAGACACTGCTACTCTTTCTCCTTCTGCCCCCACCGCCGGCTCGTGCACTCTCTCTCTCTCTCTCAAATAAATAAAATCTTAAAAAAAAAAAAAAGAAAAGAAAACAAGACATTTCCAGACATTTCAAAACATTTACTGTTGACCCTTGAACAACACAGGTTTGAATTGTGCAGGTCCACTTCTACACAAATTTTTTTGTATAAATACTACAGTACTGCAAATGTATTTTCTCTTTCTCAGAAGAAATTGTCTTAATATTATGATTTTCTTCACATCTTTTCTCTAGCTTACTTTATTGTAAGAAGACAGTATATAATAAAATATAACATACAAAACATGTTAATTGACTATCATTAAACTTCAGGTCAACAGCAGGCTATTAGTAGTTAAGTTTTGGGGCAGTCAAAAGTTATACATAGATTTTCAACTCTTCAGGGGTCAATGCCCTTAACTCCTGCACTGTTCAAAGGAGTTGAGGTCAACTGTACTTCCAATACCCTGTCTCAGGATGCTTCTAGAAAATGCACTCTATCAGAATGAAGTAATAAACCAAAAGGAAGACACAGAATTTTGAACAAAAGATTCAATTCAAGGGAAATAAATCAAAGAAGATAGCTATACAACTAGTATAGAGGGCAATCAGTCTAAGTTGGACCAGGTAAAATGAAATAGAATATTTGATGAAAATAAGTATCTTGAGATGAGAAGATGATTTAGGGTTGAGTAAATGATAAGTACACATAATAAATAGTATACATAAAATGAATTAATGCTAAGAACCTATTTACAAAGAAAAAATTATTAACTAAAAGGAATGAAGTAAATTATGCAAAAAAATAAGAAGTTAGGTCCAGCTGAATAAAAGCTGAATCTAAAGTGTATCATAAAGTATCTCTTCACCAGAGAGGCCACTGTATGATGGGAAAGATAAATATAGAGGCTGGATTTTTGTAATGTGGAGCCTAGGTTTTTGGCCAACAGTCAATAGTTAATTATTAAATAGATACATTCTAACAAAAGTGAAAACTAAAAGTAAACATTCCAATACAATTTTTGAATAATAATCTCTTATAATTATTGTAATTGAGGATGATTTTT